AGAGGTGGAGGCTGCAGTGAGCCAAGACTGCACCACTGGACGACAGAGTGAGACGCTGTCTCAAAAACAAAACAAAACAGTTTAAATCTAACAAATCATGTACAGAAATTGTATGCAGACAACTACATAACACTGATAAAAGAAACCAAATAAATAAATAAATGAAGAGGAATACCACACTCACAGATAGAAATTCACATTTACTATCAAGTTAGTAAAGATGCCAATGACCCCCAAATTTATACAGGTTTAATGAAACTCCTATCAAAATCTCAGCAAGACTTTTCATAGATACAAACAAGATTATTCTAAAATTCGTACAGAAAGGTAAAGGGACTAAAATAGCTAAAATAATTTTGGAGAAGAATAATAAAATGGTAGGAATTATTGAGCACAATTTTAAGACTTAACTATATAGTTACAGTAGTCAAAACTGTATGACATCAGTGGAGGGAGAGACATAAAAATCAATGGATCAGAACAGAGAATCCAAGAATAGACTTACACAAATATGCCCAACTGATTTTTGATGAAGGTGAAAAAGCAGGCTGGGCATGGTGGTTCACACTTGTAATCCTAGCACTTTTGAGAGGCTGAGGTGGGAGGATTGCTTGAGCCCAGGAGTTCAAGACCAGCCTGGGCAACATAGCAAGACCCAGTCTCACAAAAAACAAAACATTAGCCAGGTGTACTGGCACACATCTATAGTCCCAACTACTTGGAAGGCCGAGGCAGGAGAACTGCTTGAGCCCAGGAGGTCTAGGCGGCAAGGCTGACGTGCATCATTGCACTTCGGCCTAGGAGACAGAACAAGATCATGTTTCAAAAAAAAGGGAAAGAACGGTAAAAAAGCAATTTAAGGAAAGATAACCTTTCCAACCGACACACTGAAACCCTGGCAATGGACATCCATTGGTAAAACATGAACCTCAATCTAAGTCGCATGTCATATATAAAAATTATAGATCAGGGCTTAAAAGCAAATGGATTACAGATAATGGATCTAAATGTAAAGTGTATAATTACAGTTTTTAGAAGAAAACAGAGGAAAAAGTCTTTGCAATCTAGATTAAGCGAAGAGAGTTTAGACTTTACACCAAAAACCCAACCCTTAAAAGAAAAAATGACAAATTAGACTTGATGCAAATTTTAAATTTTTGCTCTGCTAATGACCCCATTAAGGGGACAGAAAAACAAACTACATGAATTATGGTGATTACCAGAGGCTGGGAAGTGGCGATGGGGGTGAAGAGAGGTTGGTTAATGGGAGGAAACATACAGTTAGATAGAAGAAGACAGAAGACATAAGCTCTAGTGTTCAATAGCACAACAGAACGTCTACCATTAACAAAAATTTACTGTATACTTCAAAACAGAAGAGAAGATGTGGAATGTACCCAACACCAAGAAATGATGAATGAGGTGATCAATATCCCAATTTGATAATTACACATTGTGTGCTTATATCAAAATATCACATGCACCCCATAAATATGTACAACTACTATATATTGATTAAATATTTTCAAGTACTAAATTACATTCTCTGACCACCCCTACAAAAAAAGACTACATAGTGGGAGAAAATATTTGCCAAACACATATCCAGCAAAGTACTAGTAACTAGAAGTTGTAAAGATCTCTCAAAACTCAACAGTAAAAAAGCAAAATCGTTCAATTAGAACACAGACAACAGTTATGAAGAGCCACTTCATAGAAGAGAATGTAAAGGTGGCGCATAAGCACATGAAAAGATGTTCAACATTATTAGCTATTACAGAAACACAAATTTAAACCATAATGAGATACCACTGCACGCCTATAAGAACGGTTAAAATAAAAAAAAAAACAAACAGACAATACCACATCTTGGTAAGTTTTGGAGAATGTAGATTACTCATTGATATGGTTTGCTGTGTCCCCACCCAAATCTCAACTTGAATTCCCACGTGTTGTGGGAGGGACCAGATGGGAGGTAACTGAATCATGGGGGCAGGTCTTTCCTGTGCTGTTCTCATGATAGTGAATAAGTATGATGAGATCTGATGGTTTTATAAGGGGGAGTTTCCCTGCACAAGCTCTCTCGTCTGCTGCCATGTGAGACATGCTTTTCACTTTCTGCCATGATTGTGAGGCCTCCTTAGTCACATGGAACTGTAAGTCCATTAAATCTCTTTCTTTTGTAAATTGCCTAGTCTCAGGTATATCTTCATCAGCAGCATAAAAACAGACTAATACACTTATACATTGCTGGTGGGAATGTAAACGACACAGCCACTCTGGGAAGGGCAGAGTAGTTTCTTTTAAAACTAAATACATACTTACCAACAACTGCATACCTGGCCATTTATCTGAGAGAAATGAAAACTGATGTGCACATAAAAACCTGCATGCAAGTATTTATAGCAGCTTTATGCAATAATGACCCCAAACTGGAAACAACCCAGATGTTCCTCAGCCAGTGAATGGTTAAACAAACTGTTGGACTTCCACGCCATGGAATACTACTTGGCAATGAAAAGTGACGGACTAGTAACACATGCAACAACCTGAACGAAGCTCCACAGAATTATGCTGAATTAAAACAGCCAATCCCCAAAGGTTACATGCTATATGAATCCATTGATACAATATTCTTGAAATGACATGACATTACAGAGATAAAGAACAGATCAGTGGTTGCCAGAGGCTGAAGAGTGGGTGAGAGTAGGAAAGAAATGAGTGTGGACATTAGGTAACAGGAGGTATCCTTCTGGTGAAGCACCTACTCTATCTTGCATGTATCAGTGTCAATACTCTGGGTGTGACATTGTACTAGATTTTTTACAGCATAAGATTTTTACTCTGTATTTTACCGCTGAGTGTTAAAAAAGTTCACAGGATCTCTGTGTTATTTCCTATAATGGCATGTGAATCAACAATTATGTAAAAATAAAGTTAATTTTAAAAGAAAAACAGAACTTTATGTGTACCATGTTCACAGCAACCTTATTCACAATGGCCAAAATGTGGAAGTAACGCAAATTTCCATGGACAGATGAACGGATAAAAATGTGATATATACACATGTGGAGTATTATTCAACCTTAAAAAGGAAGGAAATTCTGACACATACTACAACATAGATGAACCTGAGAACATTACGCTGAGTGAAATAAACCAGTCACAAAAAGGCAAACAGTGCATAATTCCACTTATATGAGGTATTTATAGTCACATTAATAGGGACTAAAAGCAGAATGGAGGTTGCCAGGGGCTGAGGAGAAGGGTAAATGGTGAGTTATTATTCAATATATAAGGAATTTCAGTTTGGGAAGATGACAAAGTTCTACAGATTGGACGTATAACAATGTAAATGTACTTAACACCACTGAACCGCATACTTAAAGCTATATGTGTTTTACCGCAATTATAAATTAAAAACACTTACAAACAAGACATTCATGATGGGGACTTTTAATGCACTGCGCAGAAACTATCAGAGTAATAAAACAGCACTGACGTATCGAAATCTCTGTACTGTGCTCGCCATGGCATTTACTAGGTACTACAGGAATTGAAAGCTGAAGACCGAACTTCATTAGGTACTGAATTAATAGCATCCCCTTGTGTTATTCTGGTTAAAGGTACCAACTTTTAATAAGAAATACCAGTTTAGCTCCTTTGTGTTTGGGAATGGTCACAGTACGTAGTAGATGCTGACATCTACGTGTTGAGCATCAGAGTACAAGGGTGTGTGCCACAGCTTTGGAGGGGCAAAAGCAAGTTATGGAACTGGGTAACCTGGCTAACTCTTTCCCATCCTTAGCCCTTCCTTCTCCAAGTTCAAAGTCATGTCAGCCGGGCACAGTGGCTCATGCCTGTAATCCCAACACTTCGGGAGGCTGAGGCAGGAGGATCACTTGAGGTCAGGAGTTTGAGACTAGCCTGGGCAACACAGCGAGATCCTGTCTCTACAAAAAATTACAAAACTTAGCTGGGTGTAGTGTCACGCACCTGCAGCCCCAGCTGCTCAGGAGACTGAAGTGGGAGGATCGCTTGTGCTCAGGAGTTTGAGGCTACAGTGAGCAATGACTGTGCCACTGCACTGAAGTTTAGGTGACAAGGCAAGACCCTATCTCTAAAAATAAAAATAAAATAAAGTCCTGTCGAATAAACTGTGCAGAAAGCAAACTGCTCAGCTTCCTACATTCTGCTGAGACACGATCATAGTGCGTCTACTGTTTTTCAGTTTTCTTTCTACTGGGTAAGGAGCAACTAAACAAAAGCAGGAACCGCACCTCCTGTTCCCATGGGAGGGGATGATGTTGCCAGAACTAAATATCACGCCAGCCGGTGGAACGTGTCAGGAGGGAAAATGAAGGAGATATGGCCAGAAAGCACGGCCAAAGGCAGCAACTGGGCTAGAAAGAGGTGAGTAGGATCACCTGCTGCACCAGCCTCCAGCCCTGACTCTGACTCCTCAGAGCACCTGAATAAGCAAGTGTTAGGCGAAAACACAAACGAGAACATTTGAGGGAATTCTGGAATGACTCACCACATAGATCTGTGACAGGACTGAAATTGCCTGTGCTTTCTTCCCTCCACTTCCTAACATTTCTAACCTGTAACTATTGCTGTGACAATTATTAAATTTTTTGAAAAATTCTCTGTAAAATAAAACAGCAGAGAGACCTCCTTTTTCACAAGAGGGGAACTTAGACATCCGGAGAGGCCCATCCGTGGGAACTCATGGGCCTTTGTTTCCTGCTGTTGTCTGCACAAAGCTTCCTGAAGGTGCCCTGATGACAGTCAAACCAGTGAGTGGCTGGGACTAGAAGAGCTGGTGGAGAAATAGAGTGTCTCTTAAGCCCACACTCTGTCTATTTTAGCTTTTCTGGGCCAGGACTGAACATCCTGTGTGGCAGTTGGAAAGCTGGCTGGGGTCCTAGGAAAGCTGCCCTGTAGCCTACTGAGAGGTAAACACGGGATTTTCAAGGACTCTTGGAGAAATCACTCACCGGGGGTAGCTGCAGGGTGGTCACCACCTGCTGGGTGTCCCGTACATTCTCTTCCTGAAGAAGGAAAGTATCTTGCAGAACTGAAAGAGATCAGAAAAGGTGTCCCAAAGGGGGCAAGGGCCAGGCCTGGTGCCACCTCCTGAGCTTCCTGGGGCTCTTCACTTCAGTTTTGGTAGCCAAGAAAATCACAAGAGAGGCACCAAGAGGGAGCTGTTTCATGGTGCTTTTCATAAAACCCCAGGCTCTGTTCTTACCTGTAAAATGAGGATTACAAAATGATGTACATGAAAAGCACTCTGTAACTACTAAGATTGCTGCGTCTTTGTTTTCAGAGATAATAAAGGGGGCTATAACAGAGGGTGCCTGGCTGAGTTCATGAAAGCACGGTCAATTAAATTAACTCTTTCACTTCGGGTAGGTACCCAGACCTCAGCACTGTTATCCAAAATATGGGAAAATAAAGGTTAAAACTCTACAGAGTTCAGCCGTAGGAGGTGATGCGTGCCTGTAATCTTAGCTAATCCTATTCTGGGAACTGAGGTGGGAGAATCACTTGAGCCCAGGAGTTCCAGACCAACATGGACAACACAGAGAATATTTTTCTCTTAAAAAGAAAAAGAAAAAAAAGCAGCAGCAGAAAAAGAAGAAAAAGCTACAGAGTTGAGGAATCTATAAGGACTGTTAGGGTCTGGATGAGGTGGCTCATGCCTATAAACTTAGCACTTTGGGAAGCCAAGGTGGGAGGTTGCTTAAGCAAAGGAGTTCGAGACCAGCCTGGGCAACGCAGCAAGACCTCATCTCTACTAAAAATAAAAAAACTGGGAAGCTGAAGCAGAAGGATTGCTTGAGCCAGAGATATCGAGGTTGCAGGAGCCACAGCTGCACTACTGCACTCCTGCCTGGGTGACAGAACATGACTCTGTCTCAAAAGAAAAAAAAAGGTAAGGGCTGTTGGCAATCAGAATTACTGTGGAACTCCATAAAAGAGAAGGAAAATCCTGTCATTAGTGACAACATGGATGAACCTGAAGGACATGCTACAAGCAATAAGCCAGGCACAGAAACAGAAATACTGCATGTTTTCACTTAAATGTGGACTCTAAACAAGTTCAACTCATAGAAGCAGAGAGCAGAGCGCTGGCTGCCAGAGGGTAGGGAATGGAGGGACTGGGGGGACATTGGCCAAAGGGTGCACAATTTCAATTACAGGAGAGAAGTAAGTTCAGGAGTCCTACTGTACAACATGGTGACTACAGGCAGTAACAATGTACTTGAAGACTGCTTAGAGAGTAGATCTGAAGTATTTTCACCACACACACACAAAGGATAGGTATATGAGGTAACACATTATATTAATTAGCTAGAATTTTTTTTTTTTTTTTTAAGAGACTAGTATCACTATGTTGCCTAGGCTGGAATAGAACTCCTGAGCTCAAGGAATCCTCCCATCTCAGCCTCCTGAGTAGCTGAAACTACAGGTGTGCCACCATGCCTAGCTAATTAGCTTGATTTACATTTCACAATGTGTATAGACATCAAAGCATCACACTGTGCACTGTAAATACATACAAACTTTTGTCAATCTCAAAGCAGAAATTAAACAAAAAAGAAAAACTGTCATCACTGTAGGCACTGTGAAAAAGCATTTGGCACAGTACCCTAAAGACCCTCACACGAGGTGCTGAGTGTGGCTTTGGGACCATCGCACCAGCCTACCGGGGACTCTGCCACTTTCTGTCCTGTGATTGTAAACTACACCTTGCTCAGGCTTCTGCAATGAGCCACATCCCCTGCCAACAGTGCAGCCACGTAAAAATGAGCTGTTTCAAAAGGTACTCCTTTCTCAGAGTAAGACTTGGAGAGCTGTGCTACAGTCTTCTGGTTAATGCTACGTCACATGTTAAGTCATTACCAAAGCAAACCCCAGAAGCCAGTGTCTCTGACCTTTCAGACCAGGATACAAAGCCATCAGGAACAGCAGCTGCAGGAGTGGCTATATGGAGCTAAGGCCTGCTGGAACCCATGCAGATGGCAGTGCCATTCTAGGGGTCTCAGTGCAAGGCAGCCTCTTCCCAGTGTCCGAAGGGAAGCTCAGGCTAGACGGGTGTAGATTTGAGGAGGTGGTATTTCTTGTGTGTATGTTCTATTTTAAGTTTCTATCTTCATCTTTATTTAACTTCCTTTTACCTCCCAGTTTTATTGAGGTTTAACTGACAAAAACTGTATTTTGCGTATAAAAACTCTACAATGTGTTAAGTATACATTGTGAGATGATTAAATTAAACTAATTAACAAACCTATACTTCATGTATTTTTGTGATGAGAACATTTCTTATTTACTTTCTTAGCAATTTTCAAGTATAAGATGCACTGTTTTTAATCACCATCACCATGCTGTACCACAGATCTCCAGAATTTATTCATCTTATCTAATGGAAACTTTGTACTCTTTGACCAACATCTCCTAGAGGGGGTATTTTATTTTTTAGAGGTGGGTCCTAATATGTTGCCCAGGTTGGTCTCAAACTCCTGGCCTCAAGTGATTCTTTGGCTTTAGCCCCCTGCGTAGCTGGAAGCACAGGTGAGAGCCGCCGAGCCTGGCTAGGAGGTGGTGTTTTAACTCTGCTCCCTCACACCTGCCACCTTCTGGGACATGTAGACATCCTAGATATGTGTATGTATATGAATACATAGCCCCGCCCTACTTCTGGCCCTGATAAATGAATACATGTCCCTTTCAAGAATCACTTCAGAGAGGTGCAGCCCTACACAGAATCTAGCTTTTGGGGAAGACCTTCAAGATGAGGAACTACAGAGCTCTGACGGGTAGTGCGTTCCAATCGGAAACTGTCCTAATAGTTCAGGTTTTCCTGACTGCTAACTCTCATCACATCTTTGCCTACTCATTATTGCTCATGGAAATGGGACGGCTGGCCCTGTTGTCCCAAAGCCCACCTGTGTTGCTGGCTTACCTCAGAACTTTATCAAGAAGCAACTGCACAGGCTGTTGTGGTTCCTGAAACTCCTTCCCCTCCTCCACTGCCTTCCCAGACCCCATTACAAAGCCTCTCACAGCCCCCCACTTCCTGCATAACCCAAGCTACTTGCACGTGCATTGCTGATGTGGGCGACTGGCTGCTTCCCTTATACCTGTTGTTATGGGGCTAGGTTATGCCCCTCTCAAATTCCTATGTTGAAGCCCTGACCCTTAGGTTCCTCAGAATGCGACTATATTTGCAGACAGGGTCTCTAAAGAGGTAATTAAGAGAAAATCAGGCCATACTGGTGGACCCTAATCCAATACGACTGGTGTACTTAAGGAGGAGATTAAGACACAGACACACACAGAGGAAAGACCACGTAAAGATACCCAGAGAGAGATGGTGTCTATTACACCTGCTCCGAAAACTTTTCGTGTAAACATCTTCTTCCTTTCCCTGAAAGAAAACTGCCCGTCATCCAGAGTCCTGGCACAAAGCTTGTTGTCAGCTTTCAGGGCTGGTTATTCATAGGTTTTTATGGGTCCCAAGGAGAGCCAGTGGCATAAGAGACTTCCCCTCCTAACTCCTTCTTTTTTTCTTTTTTGAGATGGAGTTTCACTGTTTTTTCCCAGGCTGGAGGTCAATGACGTGATCTCAGCTCACTGCAACCTCCACCTCCTGGGTTCAAACGATTCTCCTGCCTCAGCCTCCCAAGCAGCTGTAATTACAGGCGACCATCACCATGCATGGCTAATTTTGTATTTTTAACAGAGATGGGGTTTCACCTGGGGGCCAGGCTGGTTTCAAACTCCTGACCTCAGGTGATCTGCCCACCTCGGCCTCCCAAAATGCTGGGATTACAAGAATGAGCCACCACGCCCAGCCCCTAGCTCCTTCTAAATGTCTATCTGCAAACTTCTCTTGGTGTTAGCATCAGACCTGTCTACAAGCCAAGGAGAGAACCTTCTGAAGAACCCAAGATTGCTGATATTTTGGCTTCAGACTTCCAGTCTCCTGAACTGTGAGAGAATACATTTCTGTTAAATAAGCCAGCCAGTCTGTGGTACTTTGTTATGGTAGCAAATATCACACTGATCTTGACTTTTAGCAACAAGAGGCAGAAGAGTTTATGTGATTTGTACAGAAGTCACCATAGTTTTTCCACACAGAGAAATTTAATAGGCATTTTGGTTTTATTACTGAAAAGCTTACCATAACGCCAAACATGACTTCTGTAAATCATCAGAAAGCACCCTTGGCCCCCCAGACACTTTTCTTCCATTGTACCTATAAGGCTCTGTGGTAAAAGGAACCCATGTGCCCAACTCCCTTCAATCCAAGGGCGCCAGTTTCCCATGACAAGTACTTCAGGTTAAATTTTGGGCACCTCAGAAGTTGTGCTCAACCTTTTACAGGTTGTATATCATTTAATCTTCCAAAAACCCCAAAAAGGGTGATTACCATCTCTGTTGGACAGAGGAAGAAACCAAGGCTTTCAGAGTTTACCCAAAGGTTCAACTCTAAGTTTATCTGATGACAAAACTACCTTCCTGCAGCCACCGTGTACTTTGTATACATACTCAAACCATGTATGTTCTGGCTTCACACCGTAGATTCCACCCTGTGTCCTCAAAATATTTTTATATCTCTTTACAGCATGACAATGATTCTGTGGACAGGACTGTTTAACCAAGGAAACAGGTTCCAAGAGGCAAGAAGAGATGGCCACGCTCAGTTCATGCGGCAGGCCCTAGCTGTCATCCAGCTGACAGATCCTGCAGAGATGCACCCTCAAAGAGATGAGAGGGCACAACCTCACAACACCCACTACAGAACAGTTCCCTCTGAGAGGATCCAGAACCCCGAAGAGGACAAACGTGCTGATGAGGTTCTCATTTAATTGCTCTAGGAAGGGACTCAGACCCTGGTAACAGCTCACAGATAGGAGAAAACTGCTGATGTAAAAGCCATCAGCTTAACAAAAACCACACCCAGTTCACAGTATGGGGTATGCACTCCCCCAGACTACCCCTCCTACACACCCCTGGGCTGCATACCTGGGTCCCCGCTGAGCTGGCTTGGTGGTCTGCCTGGGAGACCCAGGCACTGTGCCAGGGCCATGGGCTGGGCATCCTGGCTCTTTGCAAGGTCGCTGTGGGGCTCTACCGGCAGCTGTTCCTGCTCCTGGTCCAGAGGGCTGTCCCCATCATCAATCACCACAGGGTCTTCACAGTGCTTGAGCTGTAATCCCAGAGAGAGCTTTTCAGGGCTAGGTGAAGTGGTCCCATCTCTCCCTGGGTCCGGTGACCATCCACTCCACAGTGGACCACCAAAGGCTCAACCTAGGCCTTGGACTGGGCAGTAAAGGGGGATGACACTATCATGCCCAAATTAGAGCCTTCAGGGAGTAAAACTTGCTTTCTTGGGAATCTCTAGTCTGGGCCTAACCAAAGTACATGGCTCTAGATGGAACTTCCTTGCTCCCCATGCGGACGCATGGACCAGCCAAAGTGTCTGAGCACCAGCTCTCTCCCGGCGCCAGCCCCACGCCTTCTACTCACCCACTGCCAGGGTCTCCCGGGCTCCCGTTCCAGTGCCTCCACTGCGGCCACAGCCTGCTCCCCGCTCTCAGGCTCCTGGGCCCGCACCCAGCTCTGGATCTCCCGGGGCAGGATGGCCAGGAACTGCTCCAGCACCAGCAGCTCCAGAATCTGCTCCTTGGTGTGCCTCTCTGGCCGCAGCCAGCCCCGGCACAGGTCCCAGAGGCGTTGCAGAGCCTCCCGGGGGCCCGCCGCCTCCTGGTAGCGGAAACGGCGGAAGAGGCGCCGAGAGGACTCGGGGCTGGGAAGCTCCCCCTGGGGGCTAGGGTTCTCTCCCGGTGGGCTCCTCATTTTCCTGGGCTCCTCACTTTCCTTCGGAGCCAAGACTCGGGGGCACAGGGCTGTGGGCATGATGGGATTTGATGGGGGTCAGCAGCAGAAGACGACCCTATTTCCAAACAGAAATCACTGGCTTCAGTGTTCTGGTATCCTGCGGTCGTTTCTGGGGGATAGTGACAAGGAAACTGTCAACGCCCTCAGATACCAGCCCTTTGGAGAAGCCCTGGGAAATGTAGGGAGTGTTGGTGTGGCTGGGCTTTACATACAGCATGACACAGACAGAAAGATGCCCTCCCCTTCCCCACCCCTGACAGTACCATTAAGTGTGGATTCCCGTAAGTCAGTGACTGGGTGAACAAGACTGGAAATCTGAGAGAAAAGTGGTGGCATTTCAACGTGACACTGGTGTTTTGAGCACCCCAGGAAACCAAGAGCGCCACATGCAGATGTAATCAAGACTCTCTGGTACCTTGAGTGGCTGGGTCCTCCTGGAGAGACCCAAGATGGGCAGGCCAAGCAGGCCACTATCTTGAAGGTTTGGAGCTGAAGTCACTGTGCTTGCTCTTAAGACTTTTACAAATAGAGCTGGGAAGACAAAGACAGACATGCACTGGATGAGCCTTCAAAAGCACATCCAGGAATAGAAAATCCACCCTGCTGGTGGCGGAGGGCTGATGGACAACCCAGCTGGAATCAGGTTTGCCCAGCAGAGCCTGCTATGGGAGGCAGGGGATGAAGCAGAGGTAAGAAAACGCCCAGAGACAGGGAAATCACACGAGGCAGCCACATGCAGTTTACCAGAGAGGCACAACACGGCATTGAGAAATCTTGCTGGTGGCCGGGCACGGTGGCTCACGCCTGTAATCCCAGCACTTTGGGAGGCTGAGGTGGGTAGATCACAAGGTCAAGAGATCGAGACCATCCTGGTCAAAATGGTGAAACCCCGTCTCTACTAAAAATACAAAAAATTAGCTGGGCATGGTGGTGCGTGCCTGTAATCCCAGCTACTTAGAAGGCTGAGGCAGGAGAATTGCCTGAACCCGGGAAGCAGAGGTTGCGGTGAGCCGAGATTGCGCCATTGCACTCCAGCCTGGGTAACAAGAGCGAAACTCCGTCTCGGAAAAAACAAAACAAAACAAAACAAAAGAACTCGCTGGTTTTATATAAGCCTTCCGCCAACTCTCTGGAGCATCTCAGAACACCTACACCTTCATCACATACTCAGATGCCTTGAACTTCAACCTCGCCTCCACTCTCTTCTCTATCCTTGCCATCCTCAAACCACCTTCCAGGCAATGGCACACCCTTCTTTAAGAGCCGGTCGGTCACCACATAGCTCAGCCCTCATCGAACTCCCAGACACTGCAGCTAGCACAGCTCCCCCGTGGGGCTCAGGGATGCCCACACCTCCCAGCTGTGGGGCAGACAGGTGCCGACACACGCAGGGTGGCAAAAGATCAGCACCAGTGTGCCTGGCTGCTGTCCACGATCCTCACTTGAGAACACGGGGCCGGGAAAGGCACCTGCGGACACTCACAGTGCCCTTCTCTGCCATCGGGCCTCCGTGATCCTTGGGCACTGCCAGGAGCCTGCCACTCCCCCAAGTGCATGAGGTCGTCCAGCGTGGCGGGTCTCAACCTCCAACAGCTCACAGGTGGGAAGGGGGCACGGGCCTCACCCCCAAGTCACAGGAAGGCAGGTGATGCCAGAACAGCTACCGGACAACTGAGTGGCTCCAGAAAAACCCACTCCTCGGAATCTCTGGTTTCCGAAGTCACAGCCCGTGCAGAAACGCGTGTGGGGGCGGCAGGCTGGACGCCTCACCGCGCTCCCCTCCCCGGGTTCCCTTCCAGGGAGGCTCCGGCCCCGCCCGCCCAGCTCGGCGGCCCCCGCGGCGCCCATCACACACCTGCGGCGCCCGGGACCACTCGCGGCCGCCCCCCGCGCACCGGCGCCCACCCGGGCCGCCAGCTCCCGCGGCGGGCTTCCACTCGGGTCGTCTCCGACCAGACGGCCGCGTCCGTCTTTGTCACGGCGGCACCTGGCGCGTGGGAGGCTCGGAGGAGACGCCTGATGAATGAACTAACGTTAGCGAGTCGGAGGAGGGCCCCGCAGGGCGGAGCGCGCTCGCAGCCGCCGGCGGAGGAGGGACCGGGCAGGACCGGCAGAAGGGAAGGAGCCGGTCGCCGCGGCCGGGGAAGGGCCCCGCGCTCCGCCTCCCGCTCACGCCCCGCCGGCCCCGGCTCCTCACCTCACAGCCTCCGGCTCCCTCGCGGCGCCCGCCCGAAAGCCCTCCCGCGGCGGCGGAAGTCCAGCGCAGCCCTCCGCATCCTCCCAGCGCGCCCTGCCGGCCGGACTTGCTGAGGCGGGGTCTCCGCCGGCGCCCGGCTCCTCTCCCGGCGGGTCCACACCGCGTCTCTCGCTCATCCGGAAAGCCGCGGCTCGGCTCGGGGGCAAAGGGAGGCGCCTGAAAAACAATCGTGCTGCTTTGGCCGCCGCCCGCACCTTCCCGAGCTCCGGGTCCGGGCCCGGAGACGGCGCCGCGGAGGCCGGCGCGGGCCGCGGAGGGCGGGGCGGGGCCGGCCCGGGGCCCGGGTGCACTCACCGCCGCGGCACGTCCCTGTTTGCGGGCGGCGCAGGCCGTTCGCCGCCGGAGCCCGCCGGACGCCGCGGAAAGGAAAGGCCGGAGCCCTCGGGCTCCCTCCCCTGGGACACTTCCTGCTCCGCTCTAGGACCGGGGAGGTCTCCGCATCTCACTGGTTCGCTCCCCCGCCCCCCGGCCGAGGTGTGCGCTGGGGGTGACACCCGACACCCCCGGCCCGCCCCGCTCCGCGCGCGCCCAGGCCTGGCCGCCGGGCCGGGGGCTTTGTGGGTCAGCCACGTCGCCGCGCCCGGGCCTCCCCGCGGGCCCGCCAGGGGGAGGCGCGCGGCTGGCGGGAGGCCGAGGCTTCGAGGCGCGGCGGGGCGGGGGCTGCGGGGGCGCTCGCGGGGGCGGCCGCGGGTCCGGAAGGGCAGCCCGGGGGCTGTTTGCTCCGCTCTTCTCGTGTCTGCTGCGCTTCCAGGACACGCGGGCCGGTGGACGCCCGGAACAGCCTACCGGGAGTCGCGGCTGAGGCTGAAAGCTGGAACTGGGGTGCGGGATGGAGAGTGGGGGGGAATTCCCGGCCGAAGCCGGGGCCGCCAGCTCCTCCTGCGGCTGCGGGACGCGCCTTCCGGGCCTGACGCCACGTGCAGGGTCCCGGGACCGAGAAAGGCCGCGCAGCCGGAGGCCTCTCCGAGCACGGGACAACCCTGGGAAGGGCGCACAGTGGCTGCTGTGAGTCCTGGCCCTGCGTGGGGGTCGGGGAAGGACCACGGTGACCCCGGGCACAGGGGCGCAGGGAGGGGATGAGGCAAGCTTATGTGGCAGTGAGGGGCAAGCAGAAATTAGGGGACCCCACCCGAAACAGGGCTGCTGGCCACTCCCCTGTGCTGAGTGCAGCCCAGATTCTCACGTGGGTCGTCTCCGGGGCATGCTCATTTTTCAGGCTCCAGAGCTTGAGAGAAAGTGCTCAGGTCCCTGAGCAGGCCTGATTCCCACCGCCCCTACTCCGGCTTCCGGAGGGGACCTCCCGCGCAGCTCCGATTTCCTTCGGCTCCCCTTTCCAGGGCAGGCAGAAGGAAGTCAGTTTTCCCAAAGAAAGTGGCCCCGCTGGGAAAATGGGACCAGGTAGTCGGACTGAGGCACAGGCTCCTTGAGCTCCGCTGCTCTTCTCATCTCAGGGCCGTGGGCGCTGCCTCCTCTGCACTGCTGGAGGGAGTAATCGCTTTTGACTGGCAGAGTCTCTGCGAGCCCGGGTTTGTCAGTGTCCACATTCCGACCTGAGCAGGAGATGGACCGAGCGAAGGAGTGAAGCCCTTGGTGGTGAACAGTGATCGTCCCCCAGATGACAGCCTGATGCCAGTAAATAAGGAGCGAGTGTGGCGTTGTATTTTATGAACCATCTTGGCTTGCCATCGTACTCAGTTTTTGTTCAAACACCAGTCAGGCTGTTTCTGTGAGGCTGTTTTTTAGATGTGATTAATCGTTCAATCTGTGGTCTTTGAATGCAGCGGGTTACCCATCATAACGTGGGTGGGCTCCATCAGATCTGTTGAAGGCCCTAAGAGCAAAGCCCGCGGTCTCCTGAGGAAGGAGCTCCGCCTGCGGACTTGAGGCAGCCTCGACTCTGGATCTGCAGCCTGCACTGCGGATTTTGGACTTAGAAGCCCTTGCAATCTACAGAGCGCATCAGTTCCTTGCAGGAAAAGAATCTCTCTCTCTCATCTCTCTATTGATCTCTAGCTCAATATCCCCCACCCCCTTCCCTCTTCCTGCTCCATATGTTATTTGTTCTGTTTCTCTGGAGAACCCCGACTGTGACACAGGGCCCTTAGCTGACAGGGATAAGAGCGGGTGGAATGTGACAGCAGGAGGCAGAGGGCCGGAGACAGTCATCTTGCAGAGTGGAAAGGTGAATGGACGGTAGCAAAGGAAACTGTGAATGATGGATAACCCCGAAAGTGAAGTGTGCACAGGGAAATGTGCTGTATGGCTTAAAGCCCAGGGCTTTGCAGGTAGGCAGCTATCACCCTCTGATGTCGGCCCCCTGTGGAGGCCATCGTGCCTCAAAACGTGCGTGTGGACTACAACAAATGCAAGTGTGCAATATGTGAAGCCCCACCACCCATCACTGGACCAACCGCACCTGCCTTCTCTGGGAGCTGTCAGAACCCACAGGCCCCAACCACAGCCTGCACGCTAACCAGGCAGCAGGGACTCCGTTGCTTTTTGCAGTGCGAGAAGCTCTTGTAAGCTGGGCGTAGCAGATACTCAATAAACTGTGCTTTAGGAACAGTCCTCGGAATAAGTGCTAGTTCTTACTGTGTTGGACACAGACTTAGAGGGGACATGGACAGCAATGGCACTGATCTGGTCCCTTATTGTGGTCTGTGGAAAGGGGTTAGTGAGAAGCTATTCGGTGAAAGAGCTTTGCATGATTATATTTTCTCACTATAGAAGCCTCTCAACTGTCACAGAGGCCTGTTCATCTCTTTTTTTTGTTGTTGTTGTTGAAAGCAAGAAAACACTTTGAGGTCTGCAGGTAGACTGACATAACCCTCTCTCAGAGGCTCCAGTGAAAGTACCTCTAAAAATGGCGGATTTATCACTGAAGAGATGACATCTCTTTCTTTGAAATGTGTATTGGATGCTATGGTCAGGAAAATAAAGCGGAGACCCCAACCATTGGTATTTGGAGCTAATCTTGAGCATTGGGTCGTTAATGCCTATTCAGCCAGACCATCAGGGACAAGCTTGTACCTTGACAAATTCAGATTTGCTGAAATGACCGGATTGATTGTCTTGATGCAGTGAGGGGGGGCACCCAGAGGAGGCGGGAGCCTGGCTTGATCAGGGGAGAAGTCTTTGCAAGGTTTGGCTCCAGGTGGAGGATGGAGGAGGGGGAGGATGTCAGGTGTGATATAAATGTGAAAGTCTCTCTTGTGGGATCTTTTAACCCAGGTGGCTGCAGCAATTAGAGTCCAGGAATGAGATGCAATTAAAGGATTTATTATGCTCAAAGGCTCTGGAGAGGGCGGCACTGCAGGGGTGCAGGGGCCTTGGAGGAGTGCGAAGGGAGTGGGCTCCGAAGTGCAGGTGGGGAGCCAAGAAAGAGAGAGAACCTGTAGGTGAGCACCTATGTTGGGGGGTCAGGGTGGGGTACACCACGAGCAAAAGGTACTAGGGGATTTTAATGCTGCATGTTGCTGGGTCACAGTCAGGGGAAGGCGAGAAGGGGACCTCAAGGCAGAGACCAGGCTTATCACACCAGTGCCTAGTTGCTTGGGGTACTCAGCCTGTGCGTGCTGCTGAGGCCACATGGAAGCATGAGGTTTTAATAATTGATCATATGTCAGGGAAGTGGGAGCCAGATCTGCACTGGTTGTTGTTTAGAGGTGGGCTTGGGAAAAGTTGGGGTTCACTGAGGTTTATCAGCTGTCAGGATGCAAGGGTGGCTTAGTTATTGAGTTCCCCCAGTCACAAATGAGTGTAGCAAGGGGTCTAGGACATTCTTGGTTAGAAGAAGGAGTCCCTCTGTCAAGTGGGTGTTGTGGCATTTCACCACTTCCACAAGACCTCGGGGGAAACCGTGTCCTGCGAAAGCACAGCAGGTTACTCGTCTGTCTCCTTAGCCTGATGAAAGGCAGGGCTACCTGTTCTCTTTTCAGTCCTTGCAGATTTTCTCACTTTCGCTCCTGGAGAGGTTTTGACTCTCTTAGGAGGGAAACACCCTGATCATTACAGTTCTGCAGATGTTTCCATGAATGTGAGTTTGATCCTTCATGATCTTTGCTGTTTGCTCCTCAAGTGCTTTGAATCCTTAAGGATAGTGGTCAGGGACCCAGTGTTACAGGTGTGTAGGCGTGTGTATGTGTCTATGTCTGTGTCTGTGCCTGAGTGAGGGAGCCAGTGTTACAGGGGTGTGTGTGTTTGAGTGAGGAAGAGAGGGGAAGGGATAGTGCTGAGGGACCCAGTGTTACAGGTGTGTGTGTGTGTGTGTGTGTGTGTCTGAGTGAGGGACCCAGTGTTACAGGTGTGTGTGTGTGTCTGAGTGAGGGAGGGATGAGGAAGCATACTTTGTACAGTCTGTTCAGCATTTGCTGAATCATTCATTTGCTGGATATATTATCTGCATTTTACTGACGAGTTCTCAGCACCATCCCAGGAAGTTGGAGCCTTAAGTAGAGTTTGGAATTTGCCTTCCAGGAAAGAAGGGTTTGCTGCAGGCCTCAACTGGGTAAGGTTCTTGGGTGAGTAAATGCAGATCCTGTGTACTGTAGGACAGTGGTTTGGATGATCTAGTAAAGGGGGAAAACACCCTTACAGTTCTGGAATTTTATGTCCAGCTATTCCTTGTATGCCCTGACAGTTAGGAAAATTTAAAAAGTAACTATCTGGCTGGGCATGGTGGCTCATGCATGTCTATAATCCCAGAACTTTGGGAGGTCAGAGCAGGAGGATTGCTTGAGTCCAGAAATTTGAGACTAGCCTAGGCAATGTAGCAAGAAGCTGTCTCCACAAAACACTTAAAAGTCATCTGGGCAAGTGGCATACGCTTGTAGTCCCAGCTACCTGGGAGGCTGAAGCAGGAAGATCGCTTGAGCTGAGGAGTTGAGCTGTGATTGTGCCACTGCACTCCAGCCTGGGCGACTGAGCGAGACCGTGTCTCAAACAAAACAGCTAACGGTCAGTTCCGTTCGGCTTCCTGCCACCTTGCTCTTTCCATGGCGTTTTCTGAAACTCAAGTCACCTTTGACATCTAGTATTTGCCAATTGATATGAAGTCTGGCAGCCTCAATGTGTCTTAGATTTATTTTTTTCTGTGCAATACTGCCTAGAAGCCCTAACCTTGGGTTTAGTAGAGACAGATTTCACCATATTGGCTGGGTGCAGTGGCTCACGCCTGGAATCTCAGCACTTTGGGAGGCTGAGGTGAGTAAATCACAAGGTCAGGAGTTTGAGAACAGCCTGGCCAATATGGTGAAACCCTGTCTCTACTAAAAATACAGAAATTAGCTGGGCGTGGTGGCGGGCGCCTGTAGTGCCAGCTACTCAGGAGGCTGAGGCAGAATTGAGGTTGCCGTGAGCCGAGACCGTGCCACTGCACTCCAGCCTGGGCGGCAGGGCGAGACTCCATCCCAAAAGAGAAGAAAAAGGAACCCTAACCTATATCCTGATTCCATCTCAGAGCAGAGACCTCATCCTGGATCCCGCACCCTGATGTGTGTCCTGACTGCAGCTCAGAGCTCAGATTTCTTCCTGGCCTCAACATCTCTCTCTCCAGCCTGCTCACTAAGGTGCAGTTTAAGCCGTGCTGTCCCGGGTATTTTCCCTCTGCCAGACCCAGGTGCGGGGAAATTCTATCTGTGTCGCCTTACTGTGTGTGTTACTTAAGTAGTGGGAGGTGATAGGTTAATTTTTCCATTCATAAACCATTGATGCAACACCTGGCTCAAATGGATAAAACAGAATCTAGTACATATTCTGTACCCAGTGCAGAGTTAAAGACAGTTCACAGGTGACTGCTCATCACAGTCCTTCCTCCTCCTCCATTAGTTACGTATAAACTTTTTTTTTTTTTTTGAGACGGAGTTTCGCTCTTGTTACCCAGGCTGGAGTGCAATGGTGCGATCTCAGCTCACTGCAACCTCCGCCTCCTGGGTTCAGGCAATTCTCCTGCCTCAGCCTCCTGAGTAGCTGGGATTACAGGCATGCGCCACTGTGCCCAGCTAATTTTTGCATTTTTAGTAGAGACGGGGTTTCACCATGTTGACCAGGATGGTCTCGATCTCTTGACCTCGTGATCCACCCACCTCGGCCTCCCAAAGTGCTAGGATTACAGGCTTGAGCCACCGTGCCCGGCCTAGCTGCGTATAAACTTTTAAACTTGATAGTGTTTGACATCTCCCATTTTAGTGTATTGTAGTCTGCCCTTCTGCCAGTAAACACTGTAATAATTAATTTTAGGTGTCGACATGACAGGGCTAAGGATGACCAGATAGCTGGTAAAACAGTCATTCCAGGTGTGTCTATGGGGGTTTCCCAAAGAGACTGGTATTTGAATGAGACTGAGTAATGGAGATTTGCCCTCACTGATGTGGGCCGGCATCATCCAATGTGCTGAATGCCAGAGAGAGAAAAGGCAGATGGAGGAGGAAGTCTCTTTACTTCCTGAGCTGCAGCACCCATCTTCTCCGGCCTTAGACACTGGGGCTTTGGGTTCCTGCACCTTCATACTCTGATAGCGGCCATTTGGTTTCTTTCTTTCTATTTTTTTTTTTTAAAGACAGGGTTTTACCATGTTGGTCAGGCTGGTCTTGAACTCCCGACCTCAGGTGATCCGCCTGCCTTGGCCTCCAAACTGCTTGGATTACAGGCATGAGCCACCACGCCCGGCCCCGGCCTTTTGGTTTCTTAGGCCTTCAGCCTTGGTCTGAGAATTGCACCACTAGCTTCCCCGGTTCTCCAGCCTGCAGATTGGATATCATGGGATGTCTCAGTCTCTATAATTATCCAAGCCAGTTTCATGCCGAATACCCTCTTAGTCTCTCTGCTTCTGCCTGTGTCCTGCCAGTTCTGTTTCTCTGGACAACCCTAATACAAACACCACCTGCCAATTATTTGTGCTCCAACAGTAAGTATTCTAAATTCCTCCCTAGGCTCCAAACATTGCAAGAACTTTCTCTAAGTATTTATTTATTTCTCTGAGACACAATCTCTCTCTGTTGCCTAAGCTGGAGTGCAGTGGTGCAGGCACAGCTCACTATAGCCTCTACATCCTGGACTCCAGCAATCCTCCCACCTCAGCCTCCCAAGTATCTGGAATTACAGGCATGTGCCACCAGGCCCTGCTAATTTTAAAACATTTTTTGGGGCCAGGCGCGGTGGCTTAAGCCTGTAATCCCAGCACTTTGGGAGGCCGAGGCAGGTGGATCACGAGGTCAAGAGATCGAGACCATCCAGGTCAACATGGTGAAACCCCTTCTCTACTAAAAATACAAAAAATTAGCTGGGCGTGGTGGCGCGTGCCCGTAATCCCAGCTACTCAGGAGGCTGAGGCAGGAGAATTGCCTGAACCCAGGAGGCGGAGGTTGCGGTGAGCCGAGATGGCGCCATTGCACTCCAGCCTGGGTAACAAGAGCGAAACTCCATCTTAAAAAAAAATTAAAAATAAAAATAAATAAAACATTTTTTGTAGAGCTGGGGTCTCACTGTGTTGCTCAGGTTGGTCTTGAGCTCTTGGGTTCAAGGCATACTCTCATCTTGGCCTCTCAAAGTCTTGGGATTACATGTGTGAGCCACTGTGCCAGGCCACTAAATCTTATAAGCATAGCATGATCTGCTACAGGAATTTCTTAGCACTCAGTAGCTGCTGTTTTTTCAATTTTGCCAGTCTTCCGTCCTCATTCCTTCAGGCCCAGTTCACTGCATGTGCAAATAGGAGTGTCAGGGAAGTCTTATAATGGGTAACAAGGTTTGCGTCCGTCCTAACTTTTGGTCCCTGAAAATGTGAACTTAATTTGGAAGCAGAATATTTGCAGATATAATCAAGTTAAGATCTGACTGAATAAATGTCAGACTGAGCTAGAGTAGGCCCCAAGTCCAGTGACTGGTATCCCTTTGAGGCCATGTGATGATAGAGACAGAGACTTGAGGGGTGTGTAGAAGGTCAGGAACACCATGGACGGCTGCCAATCACCAG